ACATTTTGGCAGACTACCAAAAACAGAATTTAAAATTGTGAGGGATAGGTTTTTAAATAATTCTGATTATTTAGACAAACAACACTTGGAACGCTCAGCACTGACGGCTTCTCAATTGAAACGTAGAATTGATCAGTCGAGAGAGAATCTCAAAATAGTACGCAAGGGACAACTCAGCAGGGATACAAGCCCACTGCACAAGCAGCAGTTAACGTCGGACAGAGACAAAGAAAGGGCCAAAGCTCTAAAGGAGTTGTTGGAGGCGAACGCCCGTTGGAACAACGAGAGAAGGGACGCGGCTAAAAACGATATCAGAAAATTAGTGGACGAGACAGGGCTACTCAATCCCGACCTTCGAAAAGAGATGATTTACTCTTGGGAGAAAGGATTTGTGGAGGACAAAGTGGAAAATCAATGTAAATCACCACCTAAAACAATACTCCGAAAGGACCCACTAAGGAAAAGCGGACAAGCATTAACCAGACCACTAAAAGGGAAAATCGCTTCAGAAACAGACTCAACAATTAAGACGTCTGCTGGTTCGATTTATAGGAAATCGGATATAGCACAATCGAAAACGGTACTGACACAAGAAAATCAGCGAAGTACGAGTAAAAGTCCATCGTTGGAACCTACAAAAAAGTTTAAGAGGATCAGTTCTCCTGAATTACTCGAGGAGCTGGGATCAGAGGACGAACTCCAAGGAGAAATGGAGATCGCAGATACAATGAATCCCATAGAGCGTTTTCAAAAGAGCCAAACAATAGTGACTTCAAAAGACACAGAAGCCGGGGGAGGTCTGAACTTGGCAGTCAAAAGAGCAAAACCCAATTTGGCGGGCCCAAAATCAACTATAGAGGAAAACAACACCAACAAGTCGGAGAACAGCGGGAAGGAAAAGAAAAGCCGAAACAAACAGCAACAGGGGACAAGCCAAACTGCGACGGCAGTCAACCCGGAACAGGAGCAATCGACATCTAAGCCGGAAAAGGTAGACACCAAAATTCAGTCCAGTTCTACACCGAAAACAAAACAGCGGTCAAAATTGAAATGTATTGACTCCCACACTCCCCTAGAGGACATAGTCGACACATTCCACAATCGCAATTTAGCACCGTACGAATGGGAGAAGTACGCGGACCAATTGCTAAAAAGAGGAGTACAGCGAGTGGCGGACGAAATTCGAGGAAATCCCCAACAAATTTCGGAAAAGGATACAACTTTCGAACCACCACAAGGATTTTCGGACGAGTCGAGTACTGAAGAGTCGGGTATCAGACGAAGCTCCAGGCAAACGAAAAACAAGGAACCTAAACGCTTTGGAGACCTGATAAAGCATTCGATTAAAGAGATATCAGAAAATCTCACAGGGGGAGGTCTTTTGAAGGAAGCACTTAAAGAATACAGAAATCAACTGAGAGATTTCAAAGATCGAAGTGACAGACCAATGGAATCAAAAGTGCGACGACTCGAAAGACACCTTTTTATGCGAAAATTCGGGTATGCTACACTAGACGAAGGAGTCGATTGGAACCCGAGTTAAGAAATAGAGTTGGAAGAAAACTGAGAATTCCATAAACTCAATCGTCAATTAACCAAGAGACTTTCCTATGAACTCAGTATATTGAACTCTTTTCAATTAAATTATCCTACTTATGTTGTATAATTTATTTCTTCCACCGAGGGGGGTGTGTCATACCGCTACTGCAGTAGCAGTATTTGTCCATGCATGTACAGCTAACCTATGGTGCTTAATCATTACTTTTATGGTATGCTCAAGGTCACAGTGAGTGATGACATTGAGAATAAGTGAGAGATCAGAGTTCGTAACACTGATCTAGCTCTCAGTAACAAAAAGAAAACAAAAGAATAAGAAAACCTAAATTCAATATTCCAAATACAGTATTGAATTACAACTTGTTTTCAACCGATATCGCAACGCATATCACAGTTCCTTTAAAAAATCTTGGAAAAAACATAGCCTTGAAGCTCTTTGAATTTTAACAACAATTAATGATTGATCTTTTTTGATAAAATTAACCCAATTTTAGAAAAGTGGACCAATGGGTAAATTTTATATTCCGCTGGGAAAACTAAATCCACTATCGAAACTGGAAGCCGATCAAGTTCATAGCGACTTTTACTTTTAATTTTTTTATTTTTACAGTAGTAGCTTTCTGGGCTATCCTTGTTGTCAGATGTAAAACCTCGGCTAGGTCTAATAGTCTCACGCACTAACCACTCAGCCACGCACGCTTAACCGCCAACAAACACTGGTCACGAACAAAACAGCTACATATGCTAATAAATTGCCAATACGATTCAGCAAAAGTGGCACCGAATATAAATGGACACAATTTTGCAAACAATAATTCAGAAGATGACAAGCTAAAGGCATCCACACTAACTTTGCATGTAACAAATCGCAAAGTATAAAGCCGCCTTATGTATAAATTATTCATTTCAAAAAATGCGAGATAAATAAAAAAATTTCTGAAAAAGAGTTTTTATTGAGTTATTGTTTGCAACAAGTAGCTTTTTTCGGTTCATTCGATGAATTAAAAATACATCAACTGTTTTAACTTATTATTATTATTCGAATGTCAGAGCATATGCTATGAAATAGCTGTAAAGGTGCCCCAAAAGTGGCACCAATATTTGCGACTTCGGTTAGAAAAAAGTTCTCAATATAATACACTAAGCTGACGCTAGTGTAATAAATAATTTCAAAGCAGGGTCAATTTGTAATGACAACGGCCATTGTATTTCAATTCTAATCATATAAATATGTTTGAAATACGATGTCACTTGTGGATTCAAAATGGTCCGTAACACTTGCTGTATAGTTATTGGTGGCCCATCTAAGAGATGAATGGCGTAAAAGCAAAACATTCAAAGCCTGATCGACCAATAGGAATTATTTCTCACCTGTAACTAATACTCATACTTTTCACACACTTCTCCGGCGTGCTGTAATTCCTTACTTTCTATGTAAAAATAGAATATTCATCTATTTAAAAGTTCATAAATCGTTCTTTTCAGGCCATGCCTTAGCAAATAAATGGCCATCCATGGCAAATAAATGACACGACTTAGCGTTTGTGGGATTCGACATGAAATGTTTTGCAGAATACTATTCACGACAAACAAGTAATAACGGAGCCTAAAATGGTCTGCGAATTTTAGCTTCGTTAAATTAGTTCGTTCTGCTCTTGCACCTGTTCTGCTCTTGGAAATTTCTGCTGAGCGCACCCCATCCATAATCATCTATTCATTATAACTTTGAATAAGTTCATTGAGTATTTCTTTCTGAATTCTATCTACTAGTTTGTTAAATTACTGACACTTAGTTTTTCTGAAGACATTCCGATTGTTGTTTATATAATGCCAGATTTCCTTTCTCATAAGAAAATAAGGTCAATATCTGGAATTCCTATACATTTTATTTCTCAGATAGTATATTATTGTTTTAAATGGTGTCCTACAATTTAACACCAGCCAATTTAACACCTTGTCATTTCACTACTATGCAATTTAAATCCTCAATATTTTAACTCCTATTTTCCAGTTTAACACCTTGTCATTTCACTACTACGCAATTTGAATCCACAACATAACAATTCGTAACAATTTGACGTAAAATTTCTGACAAATATAAAATTCTGACAGTCACTTTATACTGTAGTAAAGTGATAAACAAACGCTTAAGTAATAAGCAAAAAATGAAAAAATTGACGAGTTGTGTCGGTACTTCGTCTCTACTGATATAAAAAGCATGGTGCCAAACTGTGAAGTTTTATTCCCAACCTCCCAGCGAGATGGGGCCGTGAGTAAGATTGATAGAACAACAAATGCTGTCGAAGGATGGCATTTAGGCAACCAATCCTATTTCAGCCCACGCAAATATGTGAAAAGTAATGGGACGGCCTGCAAAAAGACGCTTCCGCACAAAAACTTAATTTTATCGATGCACCGAGTGGCCGTAAGTTCTTAAAAGAAAAAACACCGTGTATTAAATGAAAGAGTACAAAACATTATGTCCGTTTACGAAGACAAAAGTGATTTGTACATTTGCAGAGCCTTATCTAGTTTGTGTTAAACCAGTATAAATATTGTAGCATTTTTCCTTATTCTTTCGTATTATTAAAAATCAATTTAACCCTACTTGAACTTTGTCAGCTTTTTTAGAAAAGACGCTTCCTTTCAGACTCCCGGAAACGCAAGAGCTTGACTCGTGCACTAGCAATTTAATCCCAGGACAATCGCCCTTATTTCCGGGTTGCTAGGTTGGGACTAGGGGCTGGCAAACCCTTTAGCTTTGCGTTTACGTGCCAACAATTCAAAAAAAGCTGACAAAGCGATCAGGTTATAGGTTTAAGTTCGAGAATGATTCTAAGAACGAATGATTTCTAGGCTTTTGTCGTTGGTTAAACCTTTTTTAAATTTCTATTCCGGCTGAAAATGTCTGGCAAAAACGGCCATATTAGCCAAAGGCTTGCAAATTATTTGCGAACCTTTGAAGTTCATTTGAACTATTGCCTGTTTTTGGTTCATTTTGGAACGACTCATTGAAATTATTGGCAAGGCCATTTCATTTCGTTTTGGAACGAATCATTGAAATTATAGGCGAGACCATTTTATTTCTCTTTGGAACGATTCATTGAATTTATTGACAAAGGCATTTCTGTTCAAAACGTACGCGAATTAGGTAGCTCGAAATTGTCTGGCTTTAAATGGCAAAAATTTCTCTCGTTTTATTCTTTGATGTTTACCGAAGTCCCCTTTGAAGTAAACTATCTTTTCATTTTGGAGTAAAATGGTGTTAAGTTAGAGAAATTGTTCTAAAATGTAGCGACGTTAAATTGCTAAGGCAACAAAAAGTAGGGAGTGAAATTGTATGGTATTAAGTTGCTTTGAGTTAAAAAGGGGGAAACCGTTTCAAATGCTTCTACTTTCTACTCTCACCAGATTTGTACCTCTCGTTCCCAAATTTAGTTTACCTCAAGGTAGTGTCTCACTACAGCCAGTCTTTGCTGAGGATCCACCACAGGCGAAGTATATCCTCCGAACTGGATATAATTGATGACGACTGTTGGTTCGAACTTCACTCCACTCTTCCTGCTCACTGCCTTCTCAAACACTTTGGCCGCCTCGTTTGGAGAGTAGTGCTGGAACTTGGAGTCACTCACTGAATAGACTGTCTTCAGGTGCTGCTTGATCAGACAGAGGAGAATGCAGGCGTGAGATTGTTTCAAGAGTTCAGTTAAGGCTGCATCTTCCTCTGGGTATTTTTCTGAAAGCAAGCTCCTATTTCCTTCAAAGATCGTAAAAATCCAAAGCATTGCATTTTCAACGCTATCCCTGCACACAATTGAAAGCTAACAGTATACAATGCTTAACAAATGAAACATAATTCTTAACTTCATTTCCATAAGAGATGAGTTATAAATTTTCTAACCAAGCAGCGAGTGCTCATCTTCGAAGTCATCCTCGTCAGGTAGTGGCTGCACTTGCACCCTTGAGTCTGCACTCTTCGCCAAATCACTTGACTTTTGACCCTGATTGACATAACTTTGCTGACCTGCAAGTACGTGACTGGGACTCGATAATTGTCCCTGTTGAGGGTTCACGTTGGGGCTCGGCGCAGCATCAATGGCCATTGCATTTACATTGGGCATATTTTGTTGGTGCAGATATTGCATTGGATACATAGTATTGCCTACATGTGATGAGTTGCTGATAGGATTCCCTTGGACGTATTGACCCATTTGAGGGTTCGAAGCCAGGGATTGCAATGCATTCAACTCAACTGATGCATGAGCGGGACTCATTGCCGACTGTGTTTGACCATACATCATTCCGTTAGCGCCCATATAGTATCCCTGCACATTGTCCATCATTCCATGCTGTTGTATTGGATGTTGCATATACATTTGCTGCTGAGGATTCATATTACCAAAATCTCCTTGTTGATGGTACATGTTATGTAAGTTCTGACCTTGAGTTTGATTATAAATCTCGTTGGAATGTGTTTGTTGTGTGTACATGAAGCTGTTTCCGTAATAATTGCCAGTTTGTAGCGCATTTTGTTGATCATTGGCTGATTGCGACTGATATTGGAAGCTATTACTGATCTGCATGGAATTGTTTGGCAGCAGGAGTTGCATATTTTCCATTGCACTTTCTTTTTGCTCGACTAAAGTAGCTAGTAATCTTCTCTCAGGATAGAAAACGTTTTTAAACTCTGAGAGAATATTTGCTCCGCTTATAGACAACTGAATGTCAATGACATGGACAATAAAGAATACTTCATCTTGCATAAGGTATTTGAACGAAGACAAATTATCAGCAAAGAAAAGCAGTTCACGTAAAGAAACGTGGTCCGCGCTATCGAACATAGCCAGCAGAGGCTTTACCAGCGCCCTTCTATTATTTCGCTGCGTCCTTAATAACGTATACAAGGCTGAGCAACACGCTTCGACGTGGCACATTTGATTCGGTGCTTGACCTTCGTATTCGATTCGGTAACCTCTGATTAGCTCGTAAGCCGGTAACAGACTCCTGTGAAGCGAGAAGGCTAAGCTGAGTCCTTGAGATGCCTTCTGATGGACGAATCCAGGGTACTTCGTATCAATGTCAACCAGCTGTTCATGAGCTCTGTTTCTGTTAGATGCATCTGTGTCTGAGCTCAGTGCAATGAGATACGGGACACAGTTCACAGGTTGTACAAGTCCTTGCTTCAATACCAGACTCACCACCTAGACAAAGAAAAATTAAAATATACACGAAGCCATCAAAAAATACTTATATTCTGATTCAGCCATTTACGGCGCGGCGACCCATGAACAGTCAAAAAATTCGACCGCACGACAAAAGAAAGGGCTCTTTTCCTTCACAGCTCCCCTGTGGATTAACGACCAAAAAAACCCAAATTATTTTTCAAATGAGAAATGAGTGCGCAGAGAAGCGGTCACTTCTATGTTACATTTGCTCAAAAATTAGCCGTTTGTTCCCGGGTACTTTTTTTGCTATTTTAGAAGGCAGCACTTCAGTTCACCAACATTGAGCAATAAAATTGGGCATACCTTTAGAGCCTGAGCCCTGATGGAGGGTTGTGTGGCGAAGAAGTTCGCGAAGATACAGTTGAGGTAGATCTGGATGATGGAGGAGGCCATACCCGAGTTCAGATCCCCCATCTCCTTCAGAGTGTCTGCCATCGTCGCTCCACCAGCCCCACTCTCGGCTGCCACTTTGGCTTTCTTGACTAGAATAATAGTTGTCATTTTTTACTAGGTTTCTTTGCCATAAACAGAAAATAACATCACACATCAAATGCGCGCGTTAACTTATGAGTGTGGACTTTGATTTCGTTTCTATCTTTATGGAGCTGACTACTTAAAGCCAGTCCAGTATAATCTCGTGAGTATCCTAACTATTTAAGAAATACAGAGACTGAAATCGTAAACGGTTACTTCGATAAGTATCACTCGGCAGTAGTTATGAGACCCACAAAAGTGGCATGAAAAATCTTACATTCTTCGTCAGCCTGCTGTAATCTTTCATCTTCCGCAATCAAATACTGCTCCATATTATGCAGCACCAACTGTCTCAATCCTGCAGACCCTCCAGATCCTGCTTTGGGGGTCAATGATTGTCCTATATTTGACCCTATTAATGTGGCTCCTGTTTCCAGAACATCAAAGTAGAGACTCTTCACTTTCTCCCATAGCAGTAACTCAGGATGTGCACTGCATATAAACCCCAGTCCGGTCAGTGCTTTCGCTACAACATCTGGACTGTGGCATCTGGCATAGTACAACATGTGATCAGCGACTAATTCACCGAACTTACGTTGCTTCTGCTTTGCGTTTGCTTCGTGGTTTGAAGCAGGGTTAGCTGGTGTCGGAGATGTATGCTGACCTTGGTTTACTCTTTCGTCTGAGCTGGAGTTCTGAAAAGTCAATAAAAGTGCCTTTGATGATAGTCAAAAGCAGGGGCGAATCTAGGATTTTCGCAAGGGGGCGCTTTCAAAAATAATTTCGAAAATTTTGTCGACCTTTTTTTATGTCGACCAAATTGATTTTATGCGCTCTCCCAAATCACAATAAAGAGCCTTTTTTGACCAAATTTTCTGCGCCGCGTTTTTAGGCACGTTTTTTTTCGGCGCGCGCACCCCCTTAAAATAAGTAATTTTGGCTCCTTTAGAAAAATTTTGAGGTTAATCAGCCAAAAATGGATATCTCAAAATGATACAAAGGGAGGAACATTTGGGTCAACAGGCGGTCGAATTCTTGCAAGCCCCCCCCCCCCCCCCCCCGCAAAAAAAACATCGGCTAGTGGTCAAAATTCTGTTGGAAAACTGTGAATAAACTTAAGACAACCAAAAAAAAACTAATTAATTTTGAAGTAATTTCAAAAAAAAATAAATAAATGGCCTTTCAACGTATTCAATTGCGCGAAAAATTACTCGTCTTTAATTAAATCAATCGTTCACAGATAAAACAAGGATATCCGGCTACTGTGCAAGTAGCACAGAATATCCCGACTAGTCTTTAAAAAAAAAGTTTTTTTCAAAGAAATTATCTTTTTTTTCTGCGTGGTGTGATAAAAAGATCTGATCAAAAAAACTAGATTTTAGGTATATTCGACAGTCATATGAAAACAGGCAAATGGGAAAACAGTTTTCGTAGGAAAATAAAATGAACGAAGATGCGAAACTGAGAACCGCACTAATTGCCAAACAACACTAATAGGATGAGTACACCATGACGCTAAAACATAAGCAAACAGAACTTCGAAATATGTTACACTTGAAGAAGTGAAAAAACGGAAAAAAATCGTGTTTCAATTTATTTAAATATTTCAATAGAGTCGTCTTAGTGGCGTTGAATTTCGGCATTCAAAAACTTGGTCCCAGAGTCTTATTGATCTCAAAAATACTATCGGATATTTTAGCGCAAAAAATCAGTAAAGAGGCGACAGAATTGAAGCCGACATCCAATAAGCTGAAACTCAGCCAAAAAATTTCATTGAAAAACATGACGGAAAAAAATCTTGAACCGCCCACAAAAAATCCACGATAGCTATATAAGGTGAACCAAAACTTTTGAATGTCTAGATTGCGATAAACTAGAACCCCAGCCAAAGCTGGAGGTACGTGTTTGATATTGGATGAATTTGCAATACTGATGCACCACAAAAAAATTGATTTCAAAAATTGAATTTTGCCCAACACCTTTCCCAACAGTTGTTTCTCTACAAAAAAAAATGAGAACAAAAATTTTTTGAGATAATCAATTTTCCCAAAGAGATAACATTTCTCTTGCAAAAAAATTGAAGAGCGGCTGCTTCGGCAGGAACAATTATCGCAACCGGTTCTTTCAGTTGAACTTTTCATCTGAGATTTGTTTGCGTAAATTTTCAGAAAATTAAAGAAAAAAACGGTCGTAGTTCTAAAAAAAACGGTCAAAATTTTTTTCAAAATCCATGATTTTTTTCCTTCAAAGAGAAGGTTGTGGTCGCTTATGCAGAGAAGATTCCCACAACCGGATTTTTAGATTAAACAAAACCTGAAGAATACTTCGACTTGTTTGAAGGCCATAAATTTTTTCATAACCAAACTGCACATAGCCAGTTATAAAGGTAGACTTTCAACAACCTAGGTAGGGAGAGAAGTCCAAAAAACGGTAATTAAATCAAAAATTTGACAATTCCGAGAATCATAGCTTATCATGTACAAAAACAGGGCGTAGCCGCTCATTCAGAAGGGATTCACTCAACCTATAAAATCGATTGAACCCAAACCTCAGATTTGGAAAGGTAGTTCATGAGAAATAATAAAATTTTTATGAAAACACGGTCTAAAATAGACTTTTGCGAGGTCTATAAATTTGGGTGTTAGAAGAATTTGGGAGTAGTCAGATTTGAGAGAGGTATTTTTCGAGACAATGAAATGAAAAATAAATAAATATGGGTCAAACATTCCCAGACTTTTTCAAAAAAATCAACAAACAAATTTTTAGACATAAAATCAGCATGGAAATGCGGAGATGAGTGTTCAATTATAGGATAAGTGCACCATGACGCTAAAACATCAGCAAACAGAACTTCGAAATACGTTACTCTTGGCGAAGTGAAAAAACGAGAAAAACGAAAAAAAAAAAATTTCCTGTTTCAATTTATTTTAATTTTTAAATGAAGCCGTCTTAGTGGCATTCAATTTGGGCATTCAAAAACTTGGTGCCAGAGTCTTATTGATATCAAAAGTACTACCGGATAAATAAACGCAAAAAAATCAGTAAAAAAAAGAAAACAATTGAAGCCTACATCCAATAAGCTGAAAAATTTTCATCAAAAAACATGAAGGAAAAAATAATGAACTGCCCACATAGGATCCACGATAGCTATTTAAAAAGCTTATGCAAATTAGACCACACAGAGGCGAAGCAGAGCTCCGCATCATTTACGATACAACACAAACATTAAAAAACATAAGCCGAAAAAAATTAATTGTTGAAAAAACTGGGTGAACCAAAATTTTAGTATGTCTGATTAAAAAAAACTAGGGGCCTAGCAAAAGCTGGAGGTATGTGTTTGATATTGGATAAAAATGCAATACTGATGCGGCACAAAAAATTTGATTTCAAAAAATGTACTTGCCCAAAACGTGGTTGTTTCTCTACTTAAAAAAGTGAGAAAAGTAAAAAAAATTTTGAGATAATCAATTTTCCCAAAGAGATAACATTTCTCTTGCAAAAAAAATAATGAGCCGCCGCTTCTGCAGGAACCATTATCGCAACCGGTTCTTTCAGCAGAACTTGTGATCTCAGATTTGATTGTGTAAATTTTCAGAAAATTAAAAAAAAACGGTTTTAAGTTTAAAAAAACGGTCAAAAGTATTTCAAAATCCCTGATTTTTTTCTGCAAAGAGAAGGTTGTGGCCGCTTATGCAGAGAAGATTCCAACAACCAGGTCTTTTGATGAAACAAAACCTGAAGTAAACTTCGACTTGTTTGAAGGCCATAACTTTTTACATGACCAAATTGCGCATAGCCGGTTGTAAAGGTAGACTTTCAACCATTTAGTTAGGGAGAAAAGTCCAAAAAACGGTCAACTAATCAAAAATTTGACAATTCCGAGAATCATAGCTTATCATGTACAAAAACAGGGCGTAGCCGCTCATTCAGAAGGGATTCACTCAACCTATAAAATCGATTGAACCCAAACCTCAGATTTGGAAAGGTAGTTCATGAGAAATAATAAAATTTTTATGAAAACACGGTCTAAAATAGACTTTTGCGAGGTCTATAAATTTGGGTGTTAGAAGAATTTGGGAGTAGTCACATGCAAATGAGCTTCCCAGAACCCGTTCTTTGAATTGTACCCACAATTTCAAATATGGCAGGGTAGCTTTCGATAATAACGATAAAGTTAGAATAAGACAAATTTGCGATCTTTGACTGTTTTTTCAGAGGGCCATAACTTTAGGTGTACAAAATTCAGATTTGATAGAGGTATTTTTCGAGAAAATGAAATGAAAAAAAATTAAAATGGGTCAAACATTCCCACAGACTTTTTCAAAAAGAAAATCAACAAACCGACTTTTAGACTTAAAATCAGTATGAAAAATCTGGAGGTGAGTGTTCAATTATAGGATAAGTGCACCATGACGCTAAAGCATTAGCAAACAGAACTTCGAAATATGTTACTCTTCACGAAGCGAAAAAACGAGAAAAAAATTTCGTGTTTCAATTTATTTAAATTTTTTAATGAAGTCGTCTTAGTGGCATTGAATTTGGGCATTCAAAAACTTAGTGCCAGAGTCTTATTGATATCAAAAGTACTACTGGATAAATAAACGGAAAAAAAATCAGTAAAAAAGACGAAAGAATTGAAGCCTACATCCAATGAGCATGAAAATTTTCATCAAAAAACATGACGGAAAAAATAATGAACTGCCCAAATAGGATCCACGATAGCTATTTAAAAAGCTTATGCAAATTAGACCACACAGAGGCGAAGCAGAGCTCCGCATCATTTGCGATACAACACAAACATTAACCGAAAAAAATTAATTGTTGAAAAAAAACTAGGTGAACCAAAATTTTTGTATGTCTAGATTAAAAAAAACTAGGGGCCTAGCCAAAGCTGGCTGGAAATATGTGCTTGATATTGGATAAAATTGCAATACTGATTCACCACAAAAAATTTGATTTCAAAATTTGAACTTTGCCCAACACCTTAAATGTTTCTCTACTAAAAAAAATGAGAAATTTTTTTTGAGATAATCAATTTTCCCGAGGAGATAATATTTCCCTTACAAAATATGAGGAGCCGCCGCTTCTGCAGGAACCATCATCGCAACCGGTTTTTTCAGTTGAACTTTTCATCTCAGATTTGATTAGGTAAATTTTCAGATAATTCAAAAAATACCAAACAACTGTCTAAAGCTCTAAAAAAACGGTCAAAAGTATTTCCAAAATCCATGACTTTTTCCTGCAAAGAGATGGTTGTGGTTAAGCAGAGAAGTTTCTTACAAACCGCGTTTCTCGATTAAATAAAACCTGAGAAATTCGACTTGTTTGAAGGCAATAACTTTTTTCATTAACAAACTGGGCATAGCCAGTTATAAGGTAGGCTTTCAACAACCTGTTGTTCCGATTGAATCTATAAATGAATCAGATTTGGCCGAGTAAATAGCGAGAAAAGTCCAAAAAACAGTCAATTATTTAAAGATTTGACATTTCCGGGAATCATAGCTTTTTAGGTGAAAAAATTATGCAGGAACGTTATTCAGAGGCGAGTAACGCAATCTGTATTTTCGATTGAACCCAAAATCTCAGATGCGGAGGGGATTGTAAAGTTTGTGCTCCCCTTAAAACGACCCAAAATTTAATCATTAAGCAGATAAAAAAAGACCGAAATAAATTGGGCCGTAGCATTTTTTCAAGCGAAACAAAAAATACGAACGTTTACGAAACCAAGGTAAGTAAAATTACAAACTGTAGGAGTAAATCAAACACTAAAAACGACATCAAAGAAAAATACGCGCAGCAAAAAAAGATTTCAAGATGTGACAACTAAACCAACAGATAAAAACATAAATAATTCGCCGACAATTTTATTTGAAACAGAATATTTCACGTTCGAAAAAAAAACAGGTACCGGTCAGATTCGAACGCGGACCTTTGCCGTCCAGGGCATATTCGTTTCCTCCAGACTAAGTTAGCCATGAATGCATAGAAGTTTTAATTCGTTATGAGCCAAGATACATGTGATTTAAGTGATTTTGTTAAGCAAGTTGTTAACCCAAAATAAGTCTATATTCCAGTTTGATACCTCTTGCTAATTGCAAGCGCAATAATTTGGAAACCTAACCGACAGAGCTTAAGTCGACAACCATGAAGCCGAAAAACCATCCGTAGAAAACTAATATCATAACTATAATTATAGAAACAATCCTTTGAGTTCTAGATACAGCATGAGTAGTGACTAGTTCCCGGTACTTCAATTTGAATTTTCATGACACTGAGCATGTCAGCAGCATAGGAGAATCATAATTGATTCATCTGACTTTGTTAAACTAGTTGTTGACCGGATAAAGTCTATAATTCGCATTGATAACGCTTGCTAATCGCAAGCATAAAAACGAAAAAAAAATCGTTCGAAAAATTAAAAATCTTCGTAAAATTTGCCAATTATTTTTTCAGAATTTGTCAAATTATAGCAGTTTTGATTCCTAAAATGGCAATTAAAATTCAAAAGATTGATTTTACTTGATTAAAACTAAATTTTTAAGGCTTAAATTAAGCATAAGCACAGAGACGAAGCTTTGCTTTGCTAACACTAGCGAGAACACGACAAAAAGCAGCTCTATAAAGTGCAATAAGATAAAGTTGAAACAAGCCTAGAATTAGTAAAAATTTGGCAACGTCTCGGACTCGATCTCCGACTGGTTGCGAGCTAGAGATTTAGATTCTCACGCACTAACCACTGAACCACGGATGCTTAATGATTAAAAAACACTAGCCACAAATTAAGCAGAGAACAGATGCTATGAAATTTCCAAAGCTACAGATTTATTATAAGAGAAGTGTCATCAAATGAGCGAAAACTTTTAATGCACACTTTTATTTGCGAGTTAGGCTAGGAAAAAATGAAGGCTCGTACCAATACAACTATGCTGCTGACTAGTGTAATAGGCTAATGTAAGCCTGCTCACTCCCTTGAAATGCGACTGAAAATCAGAAACTTCAAACCGGTTTTTCTCGACACTGGGGCAGTTTTTGGAAATTTAATGTCGTTTGAATCATGATCTCAAGGGCTTTAATACAATACATCACTCAATTCAATCCGATGATTATTTGTGGTTACTAAATTTGCGTGCGAAAAAAAATAAAACATCCGAATGCAAAGTTCCTCCGAAATTGAAAAACAATGAGTTTTCAATTAAATATGAACATCAATTTGAATAAGCTTTTTTTACTGAGTCAATTAGAAAAGTATTTCAAAATGTATTACTGTAGATGGCGAGGTCAGATGTTGATAGAGATGCATTGACAGTCCCACTTGCGAATGCTGGAAAGGGTCATACTTCTGTGCTAGCAGACCCAGTGCATACAGAGCCCTGCTCAGAGAGCCCTTCGCTTTCCCAATGTAATCACTTTCACCTGTCACCGACGATCCCTGTTTGCTCGTTAGTTCCTGACACGCTCTCACACTCGCTAAAGTCGTGAAGAATTTGTCAATACAATCATTTAGTGTCTCGTAGTTCTTCGTCACCTTCATTACTACTGTTGTTAAGCAGCTAACACAATTACTCAGCGCATTTTGACCTCCATTCATAACTACTTTCATTAACTCTTCTTGTAAACTCGTTAACAAATTTTCACTCGGATTCGAAATCAGAGGAACTGTGATTTCGAAAATTGCTGCTGTGTAGTACAGCACCATCGAGTCAAATTCATTTGAAACTTTGGTCGCTAAGTAGGGTTGCAATTCATTGGCGTGATTAGCTAACAACGTTGGCTTTATCTTTGCAATGTGGTACAAAACTGAGAGACATGACATCAGTTTGGAACTGTGGACTCGACTCCTTCCACCCTGATCATTCGAAATCGCTTCCTCAGACTCTTCGAGGTTAACCATGTACTCCATAATACCATCGACTATTTCGGTCAGAGCTCGAAAATTGGAATTTGATGCTGAAGATATGGATCCTTCTTTGTCGTCTTTGACCAGGATTGAGAGGAGATTTTGGAAGCCTTCGAATCCAGTGTCAGTGGCATGACGCAGTGTTTCCACTATTTGGTTGATTTTCAGCTGGATGACCTTATTACTACCTATAACATTCAATTTAATTTAAACTATCAAACATAGCCAACAGACAGTTGGAAAAGAGTCAATTAACGCAAGTTAACAGAAAAAAACTGACTTGTTTCTTATAAAAAAAAAATGTCAACTTTCGAATTTCTTATTTAAAAAAATAGATGCCTTTAAAGCTCTTTGAACTTCTGGAACAACTTATGATTGGCACTTTTCTGATATATTAAATCAACTTGTGAAAACAGGAGCAAAAAGTAAAATTTTTAATTGACTGGAAAATCTGAAAACTAAATTCCACTTTCGAAACTAGAAGTCGACCACATTTTTCGTGATCTTTTGCTTTTCGATAGTAGATTTTCTTAATTTATGAGAGCGGAATTTAGTTTGGATGTTGTAGATTACCTGAATTAGGACTGTGCGATGATTTGATGGCTACATTCACAGGTACTACTGGAGTAAACCAGAGCTTTTCGAAAACTTCTAGAACCTAAACATACAAAACACGAATTAAGTTTTGACGAAGAATCTGAAAAAATTACGAGGCCAAACTGTGCACTGGATAGGAGCACAATTTTGTTTCTGTATGTTCCTGGATTCCAGAGACAAGTCTTAAAATATGTTTCAAAATGTAAGTGGATTCCACAAACAAAATTTCAGTGGATTCAGCATACATATACCTGTAACGTAAATTTTGTCGGCAAATATAGCTAGTTGTTCTGGATTCCGCAACTGTAAGTGGATTCCGCAAACTTTAAGTGGATTCCGAATTTTGTTCAATACTGAACTTGCATATGAACAATTAAAAGCTGAGCTGGAATTCTTATCTCTAGCAATGCGGAATTTAAAAGCAAAGACTTAACCATTGTCAGTGGCATCTACGAATAAATCTTGAAACATTGGTTACCTAAATCGGTGGATGACATCTTTTAGTATTTTGGAAACACAACACCAACAATTTCAATATTTGGAGTCATTGAGTTGAGAGTGTATGTAACACACAGCATATCGACAAATTAGGTCAGTATTTGGGATTGCGTCAATCCCAAATACTGATTTTGGAAGCATAACGCCCAATAAAGGCAGTAATTGTAGTCATTAGGTTGAGAGTGTATGGAAACACAACAGACATCATATCGCCAAATTAGGTCAGTATTTGGGATTCCATCGATCCCAAATACTGGTCAGTATTTGGGATTGATGAAATCACGAAAACTGGAATAATGTGGAATAAATTTGGAATATATCCATTATTAGGAGTCATTAGCTTGAGAGTGATTAGAAATCCAACGCATAGCAAATCGTCGAATTAGTTCAGTATTTGGGATTTCATCGATCCCAAATACTGGTGAGTAATTGGGATTCCATTAATCCCAAACACTGATCTATTCTAGTAAATTTCTATTCTATTTAATTTCTCTTCTAGTGAAATGAAATCATGTATTTAAAAGATATAATTTTAAAGGCTACTACACATATAAAAATACGTAAAGGGAATCCGCAAACAAAATGCTGATTCCACTTACAATTTGCGGATCCAACTTACAGTTGCGGACTCCGCAACAGCTCAATTTAACGATACATATGTTTTATCATTTGTTTGTGGAATCCAAAACAGCATAGAAGATCAAAGAAAAGTAGCAATGTTGCGGCTTCCGCCACAAATCTGATTTTGGCCTGTTGTGGATTCCGCTTACAATGCAGAGAATGCACAGTTTGGCCTCGTAATGAATTTGGTCATCTATAGCGCAAAAAAATAACATAGCCAACACAGTTGCGAAAGAGTCAATGAAAGCATGAAAATAAAAAACACTGACTTGTTTTGCGAAAAAATCGAATTACGAAGACAAAAATACATGCCCTTAAAGCTCTTTAAATTTCTGGAACAAATTATGAACAACTTTTTGATTATATTAATCCAATTCGAGAAAACTGGATCAATTGGTAATTTTTTTTTATTTCGAAGGAAAATCTGAAAATTAAATTCTCTTTTCAAAATTAGAAGTCCTTAACGTTTTTCGTGATCTTTATGCTTTTGCTATTCCATAGTGAAGTTTGACTTCCTTTTATCAAAGGAAAAGAACTGAACTTAAAAAGGAATCAAAGTCAAACCGCGAAAAAGTAAATTTGAGCCTGAACAAAATTTAAGACTATTCCTAAAAGAAAGACGAAAAAAACTCATCACGTCTGAAATACGTTCATCGACTCTTAATCGATTTGAGCTACTGACCAGTTTTCGTATTGAGTCTTCGTCGTTTATTCTACGTATAAGTTTGCAGCATATCTCTGTGTTCCGTGGAAAGTCAGGCTTCTCAATGCAGATATCCCTGAGTATTCGTACAACCCGTTTTCTAACTGATATGCCAGTGTCCAAGATCCTGAATTAGAAACGGCAGTCGAAATAATGTTTTGCGTCATCAATTAACTAATTATGCGATGCAAGTTAAGTCGTTATGAATCTTCTTTTCAAAGAACGTTGGAACCAGTAAATATCGGTGTCAAGGTTTATCGGTATACTCTCAGAAACCCTCTCTCTTATCTAATGCCCTTGCAAAGTCAATATCATTGTGGTTGAAAAATTCAATGGCACCAAAATACCACAAACGGAACTTTTGTCAAAATGCTTTGGACCATGTGACCAATTTTCCACAGAACTAACGAAGAGTGCCATTTCCCATAAACAATCGGAGGCTTTATGCAGTAAGCTAACAAAAAAAAAGCCTAATTAATCTTATGTTTCTAGACTTAAGTAGAGCTCGAAACAAAATTCAGATAACTTAAAAGAATAGCCCTCCCACGCCAGCGAGGCTGACCTGTTTGCAATCATGTCGAAGTATTTCTCTGGTAAATCGTCTTGCAGTAGAACAAAACGAGACAACAAATCAACTGCAGCTTCTCGGACGTTGCTGGAGCTGTCGATAAACATGCTGTTCACTGCATGCTGCAACTCGACCTGAACATAAACGTCACATCACTATAATGATTCTAGCTGAGCCTTTTTGATAAGGTCCCATCACTTAATTCAGTAGTACGCACTCATAGTGCATCTTTTAATCTTCTGCCGAACTTCTAACAATTATTATCAAGTCCTGTTTGCAACTAGGAAAGACAGTTCCATCTTCTTAACAATGAGCTAATATTAAGAGTTACCCTGGAAAGAAGACTTGGATCGGCCTCCACCACTGCAGTAAGACACTTGACAGCCTTGGTGCGGATGGCTACACTAGGCTCAGCTAACACAGCGATGATCTGAAACAAAACCATAGTCAAACGCAAAAAAATTCAACCATTATATCTTTAGGACTTGAAAAATCACGATGACATTGACGGTTTTTTTGAAATTCGTCGAAACTCCAAAAAATGTCAGAAACGATTGACTACTTCAGCGCTATGTTTGCTATCTCGTATATTAGAAATTTCAGAGCCGCTATAAAATAACCTGAAGTTCTATCTATTTTGCGGTTATTGTTTACCTGTCTGAGATAAACATCAAAGCTCTTCATGAAGGGACGCTCCGATGCCAAGTAGCTTGCAATAAGACATGCACTTTCGTACGATAGATTCAAGTGCGCATTCCTCAAACTGGCAACTCCTGATCCTGGCTTCGCATGGATGAGTGATAGAAGAAATTGTTTCTGTTGTTCCGCTTCTTTGACTTTCTGCATAAGTTGCGGTGGGCTGAGCTTTCCCACAGCACTTTGACTTGCCTCGGAGTCTGTCGCGTTTGAGTTGTTTAGAAGCTTAGTGCACCGCTCAATCTCGAGTCTCATGTCTCGGTACCACTGGGCTATGTAGTATCCTTTAGCGTACTGCAAAATCAAAATGAATTTACACTAGCATGGTATAATTTTGAAGACGCCCACGAAGGTGAGGACTGGAGTAGATCTATAGAGTCGCTCCAATTTCTCGCGGATATTTAGTACAAAATATAAAAGATAGAAAGAAGCAAAATCCACGCTCTTTATGGGGAAAACTCACCAAAAGAGATGGCTCAGTGTCTGACAGATCCTGCAGGTAGTCCAGCATCACTCTCTGAAGCTGCTGCGTGAACGACTCCTTAGATCTGCTCCAGTCCTCACCTTCGTCGTCGTCTTCAAAATTCACCAATGGCTTGTTCTCATTCTTCAGCTGAAAAATAGAGCCCAAACCTATTATCAAACAAAAAATTATTCGAAAAAATGATTGAGTGATTTTTCTGGACAGGTTGTTTATCTGAAGAAAAGTCTTTGATCCGATTTGATTACCACCTGAGATGCAACAAATATCGCAGGGCAAGCTAATCGAAGGAAATTTGACTGCCATAGTTTTCATATCTTTTTCTTGACTTGTCCTGAATAAATTGTCTTCTATGAATAACACGCCTAATAAAACAATGGAACCCTAATTGAGCAGCGGAAAAAATTAAAAAGCAGCAACAAAGCCGACAATGCCTGAGCATACACACGTTGACCGAAAAAAACCATTTTCATGCAAAACTTTTAAAAAGATTATTTAGATGATAACTTAAACTGTTCATCAAATGACTCTGCTAGGACGTTATAATGGGGCCGCTAAGCCGATATAATCGGGCCGCAAAGCCAATATAAAATAATCCGATACCTTTTAAAACGCATAAAAGAAAAAAGAGGGGGAACTCTGATACACTGAGATGCGAGTTGGTAAAATGACAACTTACATAAAATAAATTTCAGAAATAACGGGCATTTAGAAAGCAGACAGGCTCAAAATTTTTCCATTAATTCACACAAATACAGATTTGGGGATGGCCGCCAATTTGATTCATCCTGTGAACAAAGTTATTTACGGGAAAAAGTCTAGTACACAGGTTGCGTGTTGTGTACTACAAAAAGTAATACAAACTGGAACATCCTCCAAATTCAACAAAACATTGCCCTTAGAACAATAACTGGTTGTGTTAAGATGACAAATATTGATGATCTTCACAGAGAAACAAAATTCTTGCCTGTAAAGACTCACACAGATATGCTGGCAAAACAATTTCTAGCTGGATGCCACCAGAGTCTACGTTCCGACTATCAGAAAACCCAACATCCAGTTGAGCGACTCATCAAACCCACACTCCGCGCCACCTACGGTGTTGAAAACCAAAAACATCTGAATGAGGGCTTAATAAACCGTAAAAACTATCGGAAAGCTCTGAAGGTTAACCATTACAACGAAACTAAAAACCATTGGAACGTGTACCGCCTCAAATATCTGACAGTGCATCTGAATTACCGCGGATAGCGCGCGTGCGGCTTGCTCAACTCCACTCTAGGTATAGTTCCCTCACTAACTCATACCTGAGCCGTATAAAAAGTGAGGTACACAATTACTGTCCAGACTGTAATGACAAGCCGCATAACGTCCATGATTTATTCAACTGCACTCGAAATCCGACTGGCCTGACTACTGAAGACCTCTGGCTTTATCCCCTCGAAGTTACTGAGTTCCTCAAAGTTCAAATCAAGAGGGAGCGGGAGAGCTGAACTCCCTTAAGAATCAAATCTCAGTCAAATAAAGACGAAGATGCTAACTTCTCAACAGCACACATCGACAACGACGAAGAGCTGAATTCAAAATATGGATCAGCAAAATCAAAACGGTATTGATGTAACGACTCATGTGGCATACCCCAACTATTGTGCCGGGGACAAGGGCACTGGGCAGGGACAAGCGTAAGCCCAATCAATCTTTATCTCCTACGGAGATGAAGTACTGGATTGCGATGGCAACCAAGAAACAGACCGAAACGAAGCTACCCCACAAAATCCCGCAGGCGATGGCGTTGGGCGTAGCTACTACTACTACAACAACAACAAGTACACAGGTTGCAACACCCTTACTTATCGTACGGGTAGTAACTTCATTGGAGCTCATTGTATTTCTGGGCCAAAATGTGGATACCTCAAATTCCTCTAGTTTCAGAGAAAGTTATTCAAAACAGTTGAATTTTTAGACAACTTGTGAGCTACTGGAAGTGTTAAATGTAGTTGCAATTCTAAATCTTCTCGAAAAAAGCCTCAATTCGAACAATCAGGCCAACTGATTCAAGTGATTTTGTTAAACTAGTCATCCACCCTGGCAAAAGTTGAAATTCCGATTTATCTAGGCTTGCTTATTGCAAGCGTTAATAAGAAAATTGATAACCTTTTACGCATTGAAAATTGTTTTAAGTAGTCAAGTGAATGTTTAACTTGAAATTACTAACTTCTTTAAGAACAGTTTCGATGTCACTTCTGCTGCATTTACTCGTTGCCGCATCTTTCCTAAGTCTCGCTGCAATAACTCCCAAGTAGTCTAGACATGTAACCCTTAGAGCCGTATCCGACCCTTTGGCTGTGAAATGCATATTCAATAATCGCCCCAAAAGAGACAATGCGAATTCACTTGCAGGCCATTCTGGTTTGTTTACTGTTGTCAACAAATCCTGTACAAAGTTCTCAAAAAGTGGTCGGAAATCCTCATCACTTTTTGTCGTGCACTTCGTTAGAAACACATTTAACAGAGTTTGGGTTGTTTTATTAGCTTCCATAGAGCAATTGTTCAATGTTACATCTATATCTAGGCCTTCTGATTTTTGAGTCGCATTTGCACTTTGGTTGTGAGAAGACTGGCGCTCTCCAGCTATAGCAGCAGTTGCCGCTTGATCCACTGATTGGGCCAGTTCAGATTGGCTCGGAAGGTGTATTACACTTTGGATGAGTTGCAGAACCAAGGCAGTTACCATCTGAATGTGTTCATCTTCTGTCAAACGGAACGGACGCAGACTTCTTTTGGAGGACGGAAGACGTGACAGAGAGGAGAAAAGCTCTTGAAAAATGAGTTGCCGATGTCTCGGGTACCTCGCAAACACCTAAGCATCATAAGCATAATAAAGATTAGAGGAAATCATGATGAAACAAACAACCACCATCAAGCAGTACTTCAAGAACGCTTACAGCTGAGCCAGATTCGTTTAACTGGGAGGCTCTAAAAACAAAGTTTGGGTCAAAACTTTTCAAAAAAAATTCCCAAAAGTTTCGAGCCTGTTGTTGTTAGAACTTGGCCTTACTTTTTGAAAATTATCCTCACTTTGAGAAACACTTAGATCCACTCTGCTTACACATCACGCACATTAACAAGCAAAATCCTGCATCAAAATAATTTTTTATCAAAATCTACCAACCTTTATAGCCGACAAAAACGCTATATACTTAACGCAAAATTTAGCTTGTAGACGCACAACTTACAAATTTTAAGATCCCCCATAAAAAAAATTAGCTGGTTTTAAGAAGCAATCAGATTTGGATTAAACCTACAGATGTTATCAACCGTAAAGTTGCCAGCTGTAGCTCGCTGATATTCTCCACAAAGAACACACTAATTGCAAGCGATGACAATTGCAGCAGAACTGAATCAGTCATCACTTGAACCGCTAAAAGATCGGACAATAGGGTCACTAGTTCGCCGAATCTCTGATACAGACTCAAGAGACTTTTCTCTTTTACAGCCACCGCTTTTGCTCTTTTAGCTTTCAAGCTTGCGTCCGCTTTCTCGCCCTTTTCTTTTCCGTCTTCTTTAACAGTGGTTCTGTACAGGGGGTCAAATTCTGGGAAAATTGTATTTGCGAATTGATAATGAAGGAATTTGATCATAGTTTCAAAGAGTTCCTCGATGTAAACTCGTTTAGGCATATTAGGTGCTGTCAGAATAGTTAAGGCTAGGAGCGACGCTTCTGTAGCTCGCCATACACGCTCTAAAACCATCTCCCTCCAACAATCATTAGTTCGATCAATAGCTCCATTAACTGCCGGCTTGGATTTGCTAGATAGTGCCAACTTAGAGCCATCTCTGATATTTTGTTCCAGTACCGAAAATAGCTTGACTAATTTCTCAACCGGTATGACATTCATGATTTCCACTTCTTTTAGCTTTGAACACTCAGTCGCAAGTTCGGATAGCATTGCACGTTTAACTTGCAACTCTGGCGGACACGAGAGGCGATTCGAGTCTCGATCTTCGCTGAATTCGACAAGAGGCACAGAGTCATCGTCTGATTCCGCTTCTTCGTCGCTTGAGGTAGTACTTTCTGTCTTCTTCTTTTTCTTCTTGTGCTGTTTGGTCGACTTAGGAAGGAATGCTTCGTCTACTGACTCCAAAAGGCTGTCTAGAAGCTGGGCACAGCGTTTGAACTCAGAGGAGTCTTTAATTTCTAAAATCAAGTCTGTTTAGTAATTAATATCTGCAAGATTCGTTGCAAGGAACAGTTTTAGTTTTCAAGAAACAACTTTCATGTTCGTATTTTGACACATAGCCAACAGACAATGAATGTATGAACGTGTATGAATGCATTTCTGTAGTTATTAGAGCATTTTAAGCCTTCCTGAACAAACAAAAACATCACGACCGATATAAGAGTCTGAATTACGTTCATTGACTCTTAAACATGACTCAGGGTGATTGCAGTTTTCTGCAATACACACAGCTACCAGCTGTTATGGAATAACATATTACCTTTTTTGCTCATTTGTCGATCCTGTAAGGAGTACACTCTGTTGTATTTTCTCTTTTTCCACGCCGGCTCAACAACTTTAGAGGCAGCAGTGCCTGATTTGCCATGATTTGAGGCATCTCCTTCATCCACAGATCCAAACAGTTCCTTATCATCATCCGAGCCGCCTTCTTCACGAGGCCTTTTCTGACCCTTTTTGTCTTGATTTTTAATCGTACTGAACCTGAACATCAAAACTTGTTTTTTTTTAATACATAGGCGAACGAAACATTCGCATAATAATGCAAATAACTAAGGCCTTTAATCTGAAAGACAATAGAATATTACTCCGCGCATGGAAACTTGATTTAGAAATCTTTGACATTTCTATCACATCATGCGATTGTTTGAGTTTGAGGAATTATACAAAAATTATTCAATTTTTACGACAATCATATCTTCGGTGCAGTGCCTAACCGTTCAAAGAGAACATCTGAGTGCAATGGAAACAATTGCAATCAAAATAAGGGCAGGCGGTTGATGAGCAATTAGCTCAGAAAGTTCCAATCACAATTATAAAAAAAACTTCAAAAAAGTGTCGTTTTGTTCGTGTTGGGATAAAAGGACCAGCACGAGATCCTAGGCTAGGCACATTCGATAGTGATAGAAATTTAGGCATATTTGACAACAGTTCAAGAATCAACAAGACTCAGTTCAAGACTCGTGTTCGGATGAGAGGACCTGCACGAGAATCTAGACACATTCGATAGTGATAAAAATTTAGGCGTATTTGACAACAAATCCAGACTCAAGTAATGAATTGAACAAAATATAGCCGATAGACAGCTGGAAGAAAATTAATGAAAGCAAGTAAACTGAAAAAATTACTAATTTCTTGAAATCTCAAATTTCGAAATTGAAATTTAAAAATAGACGGACTTAATGCTACTTAAATTCTAGAACAAACTATGATTGACAATTTTTTGCCAAAATTAACCCTATTGGAGAAAACTGGATCAATAGGTAAAATTTTTATTCCGCTGGGAAATCTGAAAACTAAATTCAACTCTCGATACTGGAAATTAATCACATTTTTTGTTACTTCAACTGTTTTGCTATTCGATAGTGGAGTTTGCCTTCCTTTTTAAAAGCAATGAACTGAGCGTAAAAAAAGTCATAAGTCAAAATGCAAAAAAAAATTATTTGAGCTTGAACAAATTTTAAGACTGTTCCTAAGAAAAAAACGAAATAAAAAAACTTATGAAAAAATAAAATCATCAGCACCTTTATAAGAGCCTGAACTATGTGCATCGACTCATAAAATTAAAATTTAAAAAACAACACAGAAAATTTTTCCCCTAGTTTTCACGGCTGAAAAACAGCTTATCGCGCTGTCAAGTTTTCATGGCAGAAAAAAGGCTTTTTCAAACAATTCTGATGAATTTTTGTGAAATTTGATTTCAAAATTTTCGCACCAAGCCGAGCCATTAGATACTGATACGAACTTCATTGCTACCATGTAAAATTAACCATTTATAATTTGGAAGGCATTTTTGTTCAAGCTAGGTATCATATTAAAGCATAATTAGACGTGATTCATAATTAAAAAAGTGTCTGATTCGTTGAAAAATGGTTTAAATTTCTTCCTTGTTTAGACCTAAATGTCTATTCTAATGACTTTTTTAAAATTGAGTAACTATTGATTGTCAATAAAAATAGAGAAAATACTTATTTAGATCATGTCTATCCCCCTCCCCTCAGGGATTCGACCCCATGCCGACTCAAAGGGTCCCCCCTATGTATTATTTGAGATATCAATTTTTGGCTGACTGACCTTATAATTTTTCTGAAGGCGCCTTCGGCGCCAATCTACTAATTTTGAGGGGGGAGCGCTCGCCAAAAAAAACGCGATTTTTCGAAAAGTGTCTAAAAATTTTCCAAAAAGTATCTAAAAACGCTATTTTTGGCCTATTTTTCAAAAATTTGCCTGCAAGGCAGAAATTTTGGCCGAAACAAGTTCTTTATAATGGTTTGGGAGATCTCTGAAAAATCATTTGGTCGACCTGGTAAAATTCCAAAAAAAACCGCCCCCCCCCCCCTCGAGAGGTTTGAATTCATATTTCTTTTCAAATCCCATTTAAGATCATTTGCTAAAAAGAAGGCAAACTACGCTTTCAAAATGACGAAACTGAAAAATGGCGCACAAAAATTTAAATATTTTGTTTAAAAAATTACTTTCAATTTTCAGAATTCACAGCGGAATGAAAATAATCAATTAATCCGTTTATCTAATTGGGTTAGTTTTATCAAAACAAAGAGGCGAAGCAGCATATTCGGAAACACAAGCGAAAAAGCGGCAAACAGCTGCTTCAAGATGCACACAATCGCAAGTTTTTCGGGTAATTATTTGGAATGTAATAATTTTAAGGCAACCACAATAAATTTGTATGTAATACATTGGAACGTATTAAACAAAATTGTGTATTAATTAATCATTTCAAAAATCTCACAAAAACACAATTCTTTAGAAAGTTTCTGCAATGGAAATTATACACAGAGGCGAAGGAGAAATTAATTTTCAAAAAAAAATTCTTTCAAATTTTAAGAAAAAAATTAGATTCCCTTAAAGCTCTTTGGTTTCCTGGAACAATTTATGATTGACAATTTTTTGATTAACTAACCCAATTTGAGAAAACTGGATCAATACGTAATTTTATTCTTGCGCTGGAAAATCTGTAACCTAAATTTAAGTTTTTTGTGACCTTCTCACTTTTGCTATTCGATAGTGGAATTTACCTTCCTTTTAACAAAAGAAATGAAAAAAACTTAAAAGAAATCAAAAGAAAACCAAATGCCTCTGCTAAATTTTTTTTTATCTAAGAGACTGTTATGTTCGAACCAGGTTATTTGTTCGTCATGGACTTGCCTCTTCGACGATGTCGGAATGAACTGACTGCTGAGGTAATCGAACAGCCCAGTCTGCTCCCGATGGGTTTTAGAGTAGGTCACCTCCGTCATCTTTTTACCCCGCAGTGCTTTCTCCATTGCCTAAATGGTCAAACTGTAACAAACCTTAACGGAGACCATTAAAACATAGCAGTGAGGAGTTCTCGTTAGAACATGAGCTCCTTCCGCAGTATTTCCGAGCCATATTTTTTGGACACTGATCTGGCCTCGAGGAGTTGCGAAGTCACTGCGCATACCACAGATTTTTTTGCAACTAGTTACTACAGCAATTTTTCTCAATCAAAGAGGTACAAATATATATTGATAACAGACTAGAAATAATAGGACAAACAATATTTAAGTTATATTTTCTCACGCATCTTGAAAAAAAAACATTCTACTTTATTTTTTGATTATTACTTAATTGCAATTTTAGTCCCACCTGTTTCCAATTGGATCACAATTTCCAAAACCACATTCAAATTGGCACATCGTTTTTTTGCATTGAGGCTAAATGAAATGTAACATCAACTTTGAAGAATATTCTCAACTTACCGTTCCTTTGCGGATGCCAACCTTAGAAATGACCATGATGTCGTTCTGGTTACAAGCACAAAATTGGAAAAATTCGGAGCTTAACGTAAGCGTTTAGTTATCGATAAGGAAAGCCAATGAACGATGAAATGATTCCTTCATACATATCGTGAACACTTTTAAAACCTGTTCACACTTCGCGTAACAACAGAACACAAAAAAAATATATATAGAAACTTCACACCTTTTCATTCAAACCAAAAAACTTTTTCTATCCATATGCCTATTAGTGAATGTACAGTTCTCAATTATATTAACCGGACAAAACGCATTAAACTTGAAACGCATTTTTTTCTCAAGTTGGTTTGACTTTACGTGAAAATCGATGATGATGAAGCTTGATAAGAATTTAAGCAGAATTAATATGGTGAAATTTATTTTGCAAGCTTGGGGCCCAAACCCCAAAACGATCATTATTCGCTTTTTTAGTCAATAAATAATTACGCCAAAACTACCGGTTCAATTGCTGACACAATCATATCAAAGTGAGCCTCTTATGTAACCCACCAAAGTTCTAGAAAATGAGTTTTAGGTTGGGGTGGCTCACTGGTAGAGTAATTTCAGATAAGGTACACCGTCTGTTCGTCACGCTATCTTATTTTCGGCCGGATAGATTCGTGCAACTTCTGTCTAATACCAATCTTAATCTTACAAATCTTAATCTAGCCTAATTGTTGTGATAAACTTATTAAAAAGAGAAGGCAAATGACAAACTCAAACACCGAAACCTTTGACTCCGTTGGTATAACAAATACAAACGCCAACTCGGGAAACACATATTCTGACGGTAACCCACCAAAGTTCTAGAAAATGAGTTTTAGGTTGGGGTGGCTCACTGGTAGAGTAATTTCAGATAAGGTACACCGTCTGTTCGTCACGCTATCTTTTTTTCGGCCGGAAAGATTCGTGCAACTTCTGTCTAATACCAATCTTAATCTTACAAATCTTAATCTAGCCTAATTGTTGTGATAAACTTATTAAAAAGAGAAGGAAAATGACAAACTCAAACACCGAAACCTTTGACTCCGTTGGTATAACAAATACAAACGCCAACTCGGGAAACACATATTCTGACGGTAACAACTATCCACCTCTACGTTATTTGAGATCAAACTCCAATAACCCAATTTCCAAGCCCGAAAACAAGCGGGGATGCGCAGTGTTAAGTCCATGTGAAGAAACTGATGATAAATCGCACAAAATCCAAGCTGCCGTAGAACAGTCAGTGCAGCAAAAAGTGCCTCAAATATTTGAATCTCTTGGAAAAAAAATAATTGCCTCTATTCAACAAACCGTCAATAATGTTTAAGCTGGATTAAAAGAGGAAAAAATGAAAAACTTTGTCCCAGGTGTACCAACAAACGAGCAATTGTTATTTGAAGACGTTCTCAGAGTCAGATAAATTAGAAAGCTACTATCGGCGCGACAACATACGAACTTTAGGATTGCCAATGAATGAACCAGGGAAAGCCACGACGAAAATTGATAAAATTATTGATATTGCCAAAGTTAAAAAACTACAAAATTGAAAAAGGTGTCTGAAAACGAGCATACAAGTACCATCAAAATATTCGAAGACTTGAGCCTCCCACGACTAAAGTTAATGTAACTGATTCGGAATGATCAAAGAATTCAGTCGAGCTGGAATAAAGAAGTAGCCATATTTGTTCGATGGAAGAATGGTCAACGTGTCAAATAAATGGGCTGTACGAAGGTGGTGAGTTCCTTGGATAAAGCTACAACGACATGATGAGCTGCTTTCAAAACCGAGTTTTTCAGAAAGAGCATATTGCACCAGAAACCTAATCAATTGTTCACAAAATCCTTTGTCTTCAAATTTGAAAGTTGCTAATTCTTCAAACACTAAAGTTGCTAGCGTTTTCCATTTAAATGTAGGATTTCTACATAAACATTATGATGAACTGGAAGCACTAATAGCCAGCCTTGAATCGCCACCTGATTTATTATGCCCAAGTGAAACCTGGCTTCATGAAGCCGACCATATTAATTGCTACAAGCTCACTGGTTACAACACTCTACTGAGCAAAAATAACAGAGGAGGGGTCTTAGTTCAATCTAATGACAATATTACACTCATTGAACAAAACCCGAGCGAGTTAGCATAAATTTTATTAATTCACGTGAAAATATTCTTCGAAAATTTATAATCCGCCCAAAGCCGATAAAATTTGCTTCCTTGATGAATAATTAGATAAGACTTTTGAAGCTTTATCAATCAAAAAGTATCCTGTTATAGCCTGCGGTGATTTCAACATTGATATTTTAAAGGCGAATAACCTCTCCTCAAAAGATCATGATGTCATCGAAAGCGATGGCTTTGAACAGCTGATCGCCAAACCAACGCGAATTGCATAATAAATGAAACTCTTTTAGATCACTTCATTATTAAAGACTTAAAAGTCAAATCTGCTCAAGTACGAAATAAAATGTCGTTTTCTGATCACTCTCCAATTACTTTAGCAATTTACACATCACGCTTGAAAGACGTAGATACTAAAACTTATCGTGACACTAGTTTTCTGAAATCGATACTGATCGTTGACAGCTTCAATCAGGAGATATCTAAATGGATGCAAAAAATTAACTATTCAGAAAAATTGGATGAATGCTTTCATCAGTTTGAATTAAAACATATTAGGATATTAGATCAATTTGCTCCGTTTAGATCATCATGTTCGAAGAAAAAAAGCTAAGTCTGTATGCATTACTAATTTTATTTAAAAAAATTGATTGCAAAATGGAACCGGTTACATAAAGCATGGTCAAAAAATAAATCTGCCCGACTGCAAGATTTCGATTCAAAAGTGCTAGGAAGAAAACGGATATTAAGATTAAAAAACAAAACTATTATAATAAATTTAAAAAATGTATTGGTGACTCCAGGCAGGTCTATAAAATTTTAAATGAAATTAAGGGAATTGCATGTGGCAATAAAAAAATTAACTCGATTGAAAACAAACAGAGAACTCATTACGTCTCATCTTGACAGTGCTAATGATTACAAAAGATTTTTCTCAACTATCGGTTGTAACCTGTCCAATGAAATACCAAATTCTAACTCAGAACAAATCCTTGAGAAACCCAATTTTTCTATGCGCAACATTTCAGTGACCGAATTGGAAATCGATAAAATTATAACATCCATGCAGAATAAGACATTTACTGGTTTTGATAAAAGTAGCAATGTCATTGTAAGAGCGAGCAGAGTAGCCATTGTACCCGTACTGAAAACTCTAATAGATAAGCCATTCAAATCAGCGTCCTTCCCCAGCTCTTTGGTCAGAGCTGTAAATCATCCTCTTTATAAAGAAGGATCAAACTCATTTTAGAAAAATACCGTCCAATAACCCTTCTCATAACCTGGAGTAAAATTTTCGAGCGTGCTATTTACAACAGGGTATACGAATACTTGGAACGTTATTCCCTAATCTATGTCAAACAGTTTGGTTTCCGAAAAAAAACCATAGTAAGTACTATTGATGCAATTGCAGAAGTTACCGAAAAACTACGCATGGATAAGAAAAAGTCAATAAAGGGAACTATTTTTGTTGATTTGAAGAAAGCGTTCGATACGCTTGATCATAAAAATTTTTTAAATAAATTAGAAATGCTTGGAATAAGTGGACAGACGTTACCATGGTTCAAATGCTACCTTAAAAATTGTAAGCAATTAAAGCAAATTGGAAATTCCAGATCTTCTTGGCTGGAAGTAAATTGCGGTGTTCCAAACGGATCCATTTTGGGACCCCTTTTTTTCCTCATATATATCGCGTGAATTTTTTTTTTTTCATTTGCAGATGAAAGTTTTTTATTTGTTCATATCGCGTGAAATTTTTTATTTGCAGATGATACACGCGTTACAGGTTTAAATTGCTCAATTGAAAGTTTCAATAATGATCTCAAAGCGTTGAATGATTGGCTTATTAATAACAAATTATCACCAAATATGGACAAAACCGTGTATTTGAACTTATCCTCACTTAATAATTCCAGTTCTCTCTTATATATCAATAATTTACCTCCTTAAAGCGTTTCTTCATGCAAATATCTCGGTGCTCATGTTGATTCTAAGTTATCATTCAATGTTCACATTAACTAAGTGCGAAACAAAATCAGAAAACAATCCGGAATTGTTTCAAAAATACATCATTTTGTACCAAAATCGATTTTACTTCAATACTATTATATTAAGCCAAATATTAAGCCAATTTTGCAATACGGAATTCTCGTATATAGTTGCACCAGTTATAGTCAACTAATGCCACTTTTGATGATACAGAAAAAAATTTGGCGCTTATTTTATTTCAAACGAAATTATGATAGCATTCGTTCGTACTTTTATACTGAAAAAACTTGAACAGTTCATGAGCTATACGTCTACGAATTTCTCAAATTTGTATTGAGATCCCTTGCTGGACTTCATTGTGAACGTTTTTTAAATAATCTTTTGTTTTGAGAATCCTGTCTACATGACACATAGAGCCAAACTTAAAGAGTCAAATACAACGAGCTTCGCTCAGCTTTAGGAGTTCGAAACTTTTCTATCTGCTACGCGATAATAATTTAGTTCCTGACTTTTTCGACAACTTAACTCATTCTGATATTCAATCTGTGGCTCATAATCTACGTGATTTATACATCTTGAGCAATGAAGACATCGTTAAATATGTATTTGCAGTTAAATGCTGATGTTTTTGCTTCAGTCTAGCGTTGATTTAAGGGTGGCTTATTGCTTGTTAATTAATTGGCTTTTCAAATAGTCCCTGACTTTTTGAAAACCCCACTTGGACTTTTTCACTGGTTACTGCCGCATGAGCTCAATTAGGTTCCCAGCATCAAAATGGCCTCCATCCAATTCCATTGGCGTCAGGGAGGCTTTAGAGACGAGGTACGGTTAGTAGAAGTAGTAACCGCTACGTGAACAAGTTCAACTTATACATTTGATTCGAACAATGGGGGCTACGACTAGCAAGTTTCTGAAGATTATACATAGAAATTCAGAATTTTCTTATTTTCTTTTCAATTTTCAGCCAATTGTGTCAATTTCATATGCTTAAACCGACTATCTTTAGGTGTATATCGCCAGAAAATAGTTTTACATACCATTAAAATGGTCCAGCTTATTGAGCGACGTTTTTTTTTGTTAGAGTAAAAAGCTACTTTTTTTAATACCTTTGGTCAGAAATTGTATTTAGTTTATGTTAAATCCACTCTCATGTTTAAGTAATTAAATTTATTCGAATGTCTTTCATTTTAGGGCAGCATTCTGCAATCCCAATGGATTCGTTCGCTGTGCTCTCTGAATTGCTAAAAAAAAATTGATTAATATGCCGTTTTGTAACAACGAGAAATTAATTCTTCTTCTTCTTCATCTTCCTCTTCTTCTTCTTTCTCTCATATCTCCTAGTCGCAATAGATCTAGCATATACTGGTATTTGCGGGTTAGATATCTAGAACTTGTTTCAAAGGAGAACAAGTGTTTTCTAAGTTATATTCAAATTGTTCTGGTGCTGAAACTACCAGTAGTTTCAGCAATACAGATAATTTTCAGTGTTAGTTATGGATCATGATTGGTTAGTAGGAAATATTTTATAGAGATAGTTTTATCAAGAATATAATTGGTTATTAAAACTAGTTTTAAACTGGTTCCAAAAAAAATTTGGTCCCGAATATTGCAAAAATAAGTTTAACCATACTAATTCTGTTTAAAGTCTTAGCAAGTTTTATCACAATCAACTTTTACCAAAAGTTAACCCTATATATATCCAACCTGGTATTCAAAAAGAACTGATACGCCTAACTTTTCCGTACTTGAAAAAAAAAGTTTCCGAAATTTTTACCTCTTCGTCGATTTTAGTTAATTTTATTGAAGCTGTCATCTTGAACTCCGGTTTGGTTTCTTCATTTTGCTGAGAGCCAGTACCGGCACCGCCCATGGGACTTGAGAGGAGGTCTAGCTGCGTCAGTTTAACCATCGGATTTCGTGAGAACATGTCTGTAAACGGCTTACTGCTATCTCTGTCCAACGCAGATTCTTCTTTAATAGGTACTGTCTTCGTCTTTCTCGTTTGTCCAGTGGTTGAAGATACTTCATCTGTCTAAAAGTGTTTTAATGAATTTCCATAGATATCTGTTGATTTATTGAAAAGTTTATCTAGTTTTTAAAAAACCTAAGTTATTATTCAGAATGCAAAAAACATAGCCAACGGAGAGCTGGAAAGTGTCAATGAACTCATGAAACTATAGAAAAAACGTCAGTTTTTTTTCAATTTTCAACTTCACGTTAAAGCTCTTTCAATTTCAGGACTTTTTATTATTGAAATTTTTTCCTAAAACTAAACCAATTAAAGAAAACTGGGTCATAAGGTTATTTTCTGCTGGGAAATCTGAAAACGAAAATGCCTTTTTTGAACGAAAAAAATCATTCACGTTTTTTCGTGTCATTAGCAGCTTCGTATTTGGAGAATGTCATTTGCCCTCCCTATAGTGAATCAATTTGAATTGAACTTAGAACGAAGTCAAACCGCAAAAATTCAAACTTGAGCGTGACAAATCTTAAGACTTTTTCCAGAAAAAAAACGACAAACCAACAATACTTTTATAAGAGTATCCACTATGTTCATGACTCTTGACCAAATGCCAGTCATCATAAAAAGAAAAACTGTTGAAACGGCAGAAAGAAGCTAAGGAAATCCTTCAGGTTGAACAATTTCGGAAAAAAATTGATCAGAAGACAGGATGCACAGATAACAAGTTTCCAATACAAAACATTAAATCAGAAGGAACTAACTAAAGAATAAATATCAGTCCTAAAAAAAACAGTTAAAAAAGCATTTTAAAAAATTTTTTGACGCTGGGATAATTCCCCAATTGAGCCGCTTTAACAGCCTAGCATACCATTTCATTCAAACTCCCATTTGACTGTGAATGGCGATGCTCTAGATTGAAATTTAGTGTATCAACGTTCATGGCTTTAGTAGGGAGGGCGTCCTCTGGGTTTATTGCCTTGTTGATGTCCATAATGGCTTCATCGTGACCGTTATTCTCGTCACAGTTCAAGAGATGGTTATTCATGGATTCAGCGTCTGTAATTGCCTCATTCTGATTCGACCCAGCTAATGCAGCTTCCAATTCTTAAAACAAAATTCATTTTATTGTTCAACTGCCTACCAAACTACCTATTGCAAATGAGCTGTCTGAAGCTACGAGATGACTCAGCTATCAGCTCATTCTTTTTCCAGTGAGATCACTCTGAACTAAAGTTGTTCATACCTTTTCTTTGAATTTCCTCCAACTGAGATAATCTCTCCGAAATTAGTTCATCCACAGGACACATTTGCTGTGGTTGCAGGCACTGAATTCCCATTTTAGTCACACTCACACCATTGCTTTCGGTCTTATCTGATCTCACATTCAGCACAGACTGGAGTGACGTAGCCAATTGAGCTGTCACTTCATTTAGCAGATCAGAAAGGGACACCGACTGCTCTCGTTCTAGGGTTCTCTGCAGAGCGACAGAGGGTCTACTGACTTCGTTATCAACAGCTGCATTTTCTCCAATTTCATTGGCACAGTTTAGTTCCCCGACAACTAAAAAGTAGGACGTGAAAAACATAAAACTTTAGTTGTTATTGTAAAACCATACACTTTAATTTGCAAGTACTGTTTTGCATTCAAATTAGAAAACAGTGTATATAGCAGGCTGGTTACTCAACGACGTGGAATAATCAACAGTGTCTGAAAAAGTTACGCTGAATTTCCTGATTTAACATTGCCTTTCAATTTAATCGAAGTAAGTTTGATAATCAGTACAGATTTGGAGATTAAAGACACTAACCATCTGTAACAGGAACTATGCTAGCAAATGTTACGATGGGAATCTGGTTACTCTGTTGAGACGATGTGTGCCCTTTACTAGGTTGCGGCATCACATCACCATGAATAAATAAAAATCTTCTATTCAAAATTCATTGTCATCAATGACTTCAAACGTTTTCATTGGTAGAAACCCACTGGCAATCAGGGCAAAAAAATGATATTTTCAGTATTTCAGTTTCATTTCTCTATCTAAAAAGTATACTTCGTGAGAAATTAAATATTAAAGGAAAGCAATTTTTTTTTTTTAATTTAAGGTTTATTCTAGAAAAAATGCTGTAAAAAGAAGTAATAAGAGCTGAAATAGCGTTTGAATTGTAGTACATAAAATTTGGAGGCCAGCATTTAAACTAATACCGGACTAAATTAAGTTTAGGATTCCCGAGAATGGTTTTTTTTCGGACCAAGCGGTGTATAATTCTCAACTAAAACTATTTAGGACTGAAACTACTAGGGCAAGTGAGGACAGGTAATGTGACATTCGACCAGAATGTGAAAAATACAATCTCTGCAGAAGTCGAATTTTTAGCAGCGAGCCTTCCGGATTGGTGATTATTAAGAACTAAGAACGTTATTGGAACGATTGGCAAAACGGTGAGGGCTGGAATATTGTGGTATTTTAAAATTTCAAAAATTCGAATTATGACGTCATATTTCTGAGAAACGTCAGAAACGGCCATTTTGGCTAAAACAAGAAAGAAAAACAGAACAACATTAGCTGCGCTAACAACAACTACGAAATCGAGATTGGAAAACGACAACGAGTTACAGAGTAACAGAGAACACTCCGAGTTGCAACTATTGTGCCGCTACAATAGTTGCAAGGCCGTTGCGAACAACGGTGAAGGGTGAAAGACGGCCTTCCGGATTAGGAAGAAATCAGGATTAACAAGCTTGATCCAGCGGATTTGTCAATCCGGAGGGGTAAAGGAACTGAAACTTTTATCCTGTTACATAAACTTTTAGCTTCCTGTCATGTCCTGACTTGAATTTAATTAACATCTAGATTCATTTTGATAAGGATGAGAAGCTAGGAGTTGGGGGAAAGGGTTGATCCATCTTCGATGGAGATGATGATTTTTATCTACTGAACAAAAACAATAGTAGTATAATGAGTAGTAGCCCTGTTTTTAGGAGTGACCTCGTGGTCTGGGGATACTGAGACCCAGCCATGAGCTCACTATTTCTGCATGAAATCTAGTTAATTTGAGTGTTTTGACCGAAGCCGAAAGCAGTAACGTTTTGGTCGACGCGATGTTAGAAAGACCACCGAAAAGTACTGGCTTGGTAGAGACGGTGAAAAGCATGCAAAGCTCTGTTTAGACGTTAGCCAGTCGTCTTAAGACTTAGTTTTGTCTTCCGTCGATATGTATCTTCCGGGCGAATGTTACATAGATGTTTTTATGGCGCTCCTGGGTGTTATTCTTTTTAAGATCATGACCGGCAGAACCGTTAACGAGCACTCCGCGCCGAGCGGATGCTCACATTAACGCCCTTAATAGGCCTAAACCGCCGGGGCGGAAGGGTAGTTCGGAACGCGGAAGCCTTCCGGATTACCGTGAATAGCTTTTTAACTTAGTTAAGACCGAAAATTCACGAACCAGGAAGGGTGGGGGGATTCGCGGTCCCGTCATCTCCTGAATGGTTTGTGACCAAAAACACTTAAATATATATATATAAAACCAAACAAAAAGTATTATAGTACCCAAGAAAAACAAAAAACATAAAAAAAACATACGAAAAAACCAAAAACAGTAAAAAAGTAAAAAATCAGTAGAAATCATCCCCCCAGACAAGGTGTGATCCGACCCTCCCGTTTGTTGTTGATAGATATATTGTTGTTACAGGCATTTATATCAGTCAGGATCGTTACGATCAGTTTTGTAGCCCGTTTGTGAGGCTTGTACTGTAGGGTTATTTGAGCATTTAAGCACGTTAATGATAAATTGCGCCCAATCCGGAAGGGTCAGCTGATTTGCGCTCAATTCGGAAGGGTCTTGGGAGAAGACTGATCCGGCAAGCAGTACAAGGAGCAACAAGAAGGGGCTCAACGACAACAACAATCGACTGTTGGGTATCGTTAGCGAGTTTTGTGTCCCTTTTGGTACAAAAAATTAAGATAGTAATCTGTGGGGGGCTCGACAGTGCTGCACTGTAGTGACCCTTCACCGAACTGCGAATATCCGAGTTAAGCACCTTAATTCGGATATTAAACAAACCCGGAGGGGTATAGTATTACTACTATTATTAATTATATAGCCTATATTAATAGTCTTATATCGTTTTTCAGTCAAAAGCAACGAAAACAGACCGGTTTTTAGGGTCAAAATAGCGATATTTTGATCCCCCCACAAGTCGCGATTTTTGAAATATCGATATTTTTTGAAACGGAAAAAAGCGCTAAGTTAGTGTGTTACATCGTAACTGCACTACCACAATAGAGAGAACCGGTTAAATTTAGTTCGAAAGTGGTTGGAACTATTTTGGTACCGAGAACCGAAATTTGGTGATTTTTGAGAAAACGAAACACTATAAATTTAGAAAATTTTTTGAAATTTTTGAGTTACAACAGTAAAAATAGTTGTTCGGACAACGTCCACTAGTGAATCTACAAGTTTTAAAACCCGCTACCCGAAAGCCTTCCGGGTTGCAGAGAAATCGAACTTAACGTGTTTGATTTGGTGGATTCATCAATCCGGAGGGGTACAGGTAGCATAGTTTTTCGCAAATTTTTTCAGCAAAAGCGTTTTAGATCGGGTCTTTTGCATTGAACTAGAAGAGTATAGGCCTTTTGAGCTCGGATCAATAATTTTTAGGTCGAAAGGACCTGATTTGCGGAAAAAGTTAGGCGGAACCTAAAAGAGAGAAAAATTTTTGAGTTTAGAAAAAAGACGTTTTGGTTAATAACTTTGGAACTACTGGGCATATCGAGTTGATCTTGGTACCAATAGATCAAAAATTAGCTGAGCTTACTGATAGGGATAAAAGTTTTCCGGAAAAATAAGCGTGAAAATTTTTTGAGATTGTTTTTAGCAAATTCCTCAATTTGGAAGGGTACACCCTTCACGTTTTACAAAAATTTTTTAGAAAAGCCCTTATACCCAAAAGGTAATAGCGGTTGAATAAAGTAACTTTAGGCTGTTGTAGACGAAAAGGGAAGGCTAAAGGCACAGCAAAAGCTTAAGCGAGCCGAAGTTAGGCGAGCGATAAGACCCTTCACCGTTAGTGTGAATTGTCAAATAAGAGGCTTAATTTCAATCCGGAAGGGTCTAGGAAAGTAGTGCATACCCTTCCTAGTTAATTGAAAGAGCAAAATTGCATCGGAGAACGTATCCGGAGGGGTATAGGTTGAAAGTAAGAAATCTCCGAAAAGCTACTTTTACAAAACCGGAGGGTTCCCAATCCGGAGGGATCAAAATTTTTTTTTTCAAGTTAAGAGGGTTCCGAATCCGGAGGGGTCTTATAGTTGCAATTTCGGAGGGGTCCAAATCCGGAGGGGTCTTATATTAACTAACTCAGAGGGGTCCCAATCCGGAGGGGTCTAGATTCTGCCAGTCCGGAAGGGTCCTATTTGTGCCAACCCGGAGGGGTATTATTTTTTTAAAGGACTTAGGTAGACGAAAGAAAGAATAAAAAGTGAGAGGTATTAGGTTAATAGCACACAGGCTAGGTATCAGTGACTTCACTGGTAACTTGCCTTTCAATGAGAACCAGACCAAAACAAAACAGGTCCGAACTCGGATATTCGCGACACTAAGTCCAAATTAAAAAGTGCGTGATTCATTGGTGTGGATTGTAACATAATACGTTTTTGGGAAAAGTGACTGCCCTGAGGATTTTAGTAGTTCTAGCTCGGGCAGTCCAAAGGCAGATAGGTAACATAGTACTCGGTGGGTGCAATAGACGCCCACTTGAGAAAATTACTGCCTTCAAAGTTTTGTCTGTTTGGTGCAGCACCGAGCAGGGAAAGCTTTTTCTTTAAAAGACAGGTTCGACTATTGTACTGCGACCGACTAAGAGTACATCACACATACGTTTTGTTCATAGAGGTATTCATAGTTTGACACTAAATATATATATTTTGTTTTTTTTTTATTTTAAATCAACATAAACTGTGCTTGATTGGGTAGTGAGTACACTATCTTTTAAATTGACTGATAACATCATATTGTGCTAGTTTTCAAATCTTACCACCGATAATCGGTTAGTGTGAATAAATTTTATACAAACTGTACTCTGATAACATATAGGGATTCGTGGTCACTATTTAATAGAATCTTGTGAAAATTATTGTGTTGTGTCATTATTATTGTTGTTAATAAAACTATAGGGTCTCTAGCAATCGGGTTGAGTATAGGCATTAAAAAGTGACAAGATAGAGAATGAGTCTAGACAAGTCAAGGATACCAAAACGAGGTAATAGCTCTAGGAAATTCATACCTGAAAAGCAAAGAAAAACGATGACCGATCCTTTTGTGGTCATCACAACGTCATCATCATTCTCAGAAAGAATGAATAACACCTTCGGAAACATCTTTCCATTCAGCATGGGAGGAGGAGCAGGAAACGACGGTGAATTCCAGGAGGAAGAGGATGAAGAGGAGCAAGGGGACTTTGGATCTCAAGTCAGCCTCAATAGTTCGATCCAGGAAAATGAGGCACACGTCGAAAGAGAGACTGGAACCATGGACAAATTTGGTGTAGTGACAACGATAAGCAAAGAGGCAAACACACCGGGCCAGTCAAAAGACTTCGCGATTAAGTCAAGTTCAGAGCCACAAACTGGAGAGAGTAGAACCAGAGGGCTAGGCAACGCGTTAGCGGATCCTGAAATAGATAATGAAAAGACGTCGAGGCAGAGAGTTAAGGCCCGGATCTCGACCAGCACGAAGCTACCTGGGACCGACAGGGTTACACCACTACTAGTGACGCCACTCGTGGATAACGAGGCAGCACTAGAGGAAGCCTTAAACAACATAGTGGACAGTTTAGGAGAACAAAACGAGCAGATGTCAATTAGGATGAGTGAACTAGAAAGGGCAGTCCACATTGAAAGAGAGAGTCTGCGGGAAGAAATAAACCGCAACAGACAAGAAGTTGGCAGGAGCGAAAAACGCTTGAAAGAAAGAACGGACGAACATATGGCGAGGAACTTGTCGCGAATGACAAGAGAGGCGGAACAGCGAGAG